TTATGGGAAAGTTGCTCAGAAGAGATCATGTGAAAAATGTGCAGCCTGAGAAGTCATCAAAAGCTTATGGAGTACAAGAGAGGAATGAGGGAAAGAACCTGTTCCGTAGATGCTCAGAGCGCAGGGGAGATTTATTTTCAGTCCTTTCATTTTTGTAAGTATAGCTGGCAATTCTGGGTTCCCTGCAGAGCTATCACTTGCTAGCATATCTAATCTGATCTAATAAAATATACTTTTAGAGACTTAGATGGCTTTTGGTATGCTCCCTAGAAAGAGAAAGCAGAGCATGTCCAACTTTAGTCCAACTTGAGGTCCTAGCAATATCTCCAAATTGGAGGAAATGCTAAGCTGACCAGGAAGGACGGGATAGGGATGAGGATTATATCTATTCAAAAAACTGTCTTTATGCCGGTGGATTCCATAGCTATTTACATATTAATTTCCGAGAATATGCATTTTGCAGTGCTTTTAAATAAAGCTAACTCTTGTAAAAACCAGCAAGTTTTGACACTTCCTGAGATTATATTTTATCTTGAAATAGAAAGGAAGGCAAGTCCTTTTTCCATCAGAAACTGTTATGAAAAATGGCTGACATTATTATTCATGGTTTGGAAGCTTCCCATCAAGTGTTACACAGGCCCAGTCCTATTTTGCTTGTTGAGTGACAAGAATTTAGCTCACAGAGTTCAAAACCTTGAATTATCTGAACTTATTACTACATTCTGTGGTAAAATGAAGCAAAACTTTCTTTTTGCATATGCTTTATTGGGAGAGTAGCAAGTGTGCTGGAAGATTCTGCACCACACGGTAATGTGAGTGAGCATCCACAGAAATGGAAGCACTGTAATTACCCACATGCTGACAAGAAGGGCTGCTGAGCAAATGCCCAGCAGAACTATCAGCCTGGCTATGCCACTTCTGAGACTCAGTTTAGTGGGTATGCAGAGCACTCTGCCAACACAAAATGCTTCCATGCCACACTGAACCAGAGCAAGATCAAAACAGGTGCAGATTCTGCTGTTATGCTTTGCTCTCTTACCCTCTTTTTAATTTCCCTGCCTTTAAAACTAAGATAGTCAGAGTTTTAGACAATTCTTGGAAGAATACTAACAGGCTAACAGGGTCATAATATAACACTTCCTCCTAATAATATATTTCTGTTCTACAGAGATAAAAACAATCCCTGTTCCACCATAAATGAAGGTTGTCAAAGTCATTTCAGAAACATAAATTAACCAAACCTTTCAGGATTTTTGGCATATGCATTCTTCTTCTATAAAAGAAGTCTAAAGATCATGTTTATAGCAGCATGTATGAGAAAAGAAGCAACTCGAGGAAGAAAGTTCACAATTCATATTTGCACTAATGCCACTTATCTGCACTCTAGCAATGAAAGAGGTCAGTAAATTCAAAACAGTTTAAACTTTCATGTTTATAAGGTCTCTTTACAAAAGTAGGAAGCTGTGTATAAGGATAGGATAAATAAGATTTTTTACAAATTAATCTGCCATCTGTGGAAAAGCTCTTGCTTTACCAAAAGCTTTCTGAATTGATAACAAGATAAAGGGGATTTCATAATCCTTCTACAGATCTCTTGTAAACCTAAAATTGTACTTAAACTTGATTCAGCACATTTTAAGCTGACTGATGTGGCTTCTTATTTGAAGTCAATGGTACTTGATTCATTCAGAGGAGAATATGACAGAAAGGCACAGCAGAAAGCGCCACTTTCACTGCCTCTTTCTCTACAGCCTTGAAGCTGTGATATTGGGGAACTTGGACATTACAATGAGTTGCTTAGGAGGTGCTGGGTTGAAAGACAAGTAAAATGATGTTGCTTTAAAATGTAAATAAAAGCATATAGAGTTAAATATGCACAACACTGTCATTCTTCCTCAACATTTGCAAACATTATCCAAAACCCCCCCCATCTCCAACAGACAAGCTGTTTGAATGCTAAGGTTTGCTTAGTCATTTTCAGATGAGGTAAGCCACACTGTGCATGACTAGGAGCTCTGAGACTCTTGGCAGCGCTAAACTAGGAGAGGAAACACTTTGTTCTCCAATTTTCAGAGACATTCTTTGAACTCATCCAGAAACTCTCATGAAACAAAAGGCTTCCTTCAGTTCTACTCCTGGTAAAATCATCTGAGTTCAAGACACACACTTCACATTTTCTTGAAATGCCATTAAGGAGAAAAATACACTGTCAACAGTTCAAGCATATTCACCCAAAGGATACTTTATCTACAAAATGAAAGGGCAAAAACCTTTAAAGGAATATGTATGAAGTGAAAATGCAATGAACTGTCTTCATTTTACAAGTTGGAAATCATTTTCCGAGAACACAGTCAAACAGAAGCAAATGTGTTTGAGCTGGAATGATTCATTCACCTAGATTCAAGAAGATAACAAGATTTCAGACAATATTATTAAGGTAAAACCAACTGTAGTTTTCTCAAATAGGCTTATGATTTGACTAATGATTCAAAGGTGATGCTCATTAAGACCATTTCTTAAAGCGTTGTGAATGTTCAGGAACTGGGCTTCACATTATGCTAGACAACTGAGAGAATAGAATTCCACATCTGGGTAGGCAGTAGCAAAACATCTAAGTCAGGTCTGGTACCTTGGAGCAAGACTGACAAAGGTTTGACTAATCACACAAAAATTAGGTCTTCTAATTCTTTGCATATTCCATCTGAATTTTCAATTGCTACTTTAGTATATCTGTTAAAAGGTTTATGGAGGGGTTTAACATTTTTGGAATAACTTGTGAAACACACTATTTTTCAGCACAAGTCAGGCTAGTTAACTTCTGCCGTCCATCCAGATTAATGCATGGTTTGAAAGTAGTATGCATAGTTTGAAAGTAGTTTGAAAGAGCTTTTCTCCTCACACATCTTTCAGAATGCCACTGAAACCATTACTCAGCCCAAGAAAAGAACAACTCGGGTTCCACCAGAGACACAGAGAACTAAGAGATTGGTAGTTTATGGTCCCAAAGGTTAACAGCCATCTATTAAAAGAGGAAGTGAGTGAGGTGGTAAATGGAGGCTTGTTTGGATGACAGCTGTGGGTATTATTCTTATTAACTCACTAATTGTTCCACGTAGGAGATTTTGAAAAAGAAAGATTATTTACTGGCAACAAGTCTTCTTGAGGTGGTTATTTAAACATATACATACATTGTGAATTTTGGGGGTTGTTTGTTTTAATTTCAGCAGAAGCCCAAGGACACAACAGTCCCATTCCTTCACCTACTTTTAACACTGTTTTACAACCTGTGCCTCATACTTTTGTTTTCTCTGTCTCACAAGTGCCTCACGAAGGAGGTGGGCTGCCTGTGAAAGTGTAGGCAACAGTAATGCACATATAAGCAACTCGTCTTGGAGAACAGTTACGGGTAACTTTCCTCTCATCCTGGAATGCTCACCCCCATGTACCTTACCTGCAAACAAAACCCATCACAAAATATTTTCATAAAGGAAATGGTCCTAATGTGAGTAGTTGAAACAAAGCAAAAGAACCAACTGTCCCAAAGGGTGCATCACATTGAGAGGCTTCAATGGTCAAGGAAATAGTGAAATGAATGTTGGGGTTAGAAACCTGACCCTTGGATATGCCAGCTGAAGACACAGGCAGATGAGGTGTCCCAAATCTGGTCGATATGAAGAATGCAAGCATGACTCATGTTCAATATGTGAAAAAAAATAATTGGTCCTGAAAACTTATGGAAGAAGAAATCATAGGCAAATTAGTTTCTTGACTAAAAAGAAATTCAGAGACTCATAAGAAAAAAAAAAAAAAAAAAACAGGCAATCCTGAGGTGTGACTTCTCTTGAACAAATGCAACGCACAGAGGAGCCATAATAGTGGTCTGGCGCTCCATCCCTAAATGACCAATGTGATAACTACCAAAAGGAACAAGAGGACTAGGTCCAAACTTTTCATCTGGTGTCTTCAAGTGCATAGTTCATGGATCCAGAAAAGAAGTATTTCCTGTCTCCCAGCAATAGTCATCTTTGAAAATGTAAAAGAAGGGTCAGTGTCTAGACAGAAAAAAAAAAAAAAAAGTGTGCTTCCCAACAAATGCAAAACAGAATTCAAGAACAAGACATACTGACTGTCAACACACGTTAATACATCAACTGAACAAGGTTCCTCTGTTATCACAGCCTATCAAGCAAGAGGCACAAGGATATGAGCACATTTTACACCTTCATAGTTGTGTACCTGACACAAAGATGGGTAGGACTTACATTCATGTCTTATGGGAACTGCTGCAGTAAAAACAGTACAGCCACAGTGTGAATGCATCTGCACACATTAGGTACACTCACAGGGTAAATGCGGATGTTCACAAAGATTCAGAAGATGAAAAGACATCCCTGAGACACAAGACAAAATCCTTTTCTCTACACAAAGCTCCACCACTGTTATTTGTGCTTTTTTCATGTCTGAGAGGTGCAGATAATGCCTTTGCCCACAGTTTTGGATTTTGTATGAATGCAGAAGTAAAAGTTGTTTACTCTGTTGGTCGCAACAGTTCCAGAGAAAAGTCATTATCATGTGGTCAAATGCAATAGTCATATTTCTATTTTTCAGCTTGTAAGTGGCAACAGCTGTGTGAGCAACCCAAAAGAGTTGCAAATCTGAAGACTTTGCTGATAGAGGCAGATTCTTCAGATTCTAAACTGCATAAGACAATGGGAAGGATTAGGGTCCTCCTTCAATATCCAGTCTTATCCACTAAGAGGAATCCCAGTGGGAAATGCGTTGATAGTATTCAGAGGGTAGGCTGTGACTGGCCACTGGCTTCATAATCCACAGCTCTAGTATGAGATGAGAGACAATTTGCAGATGAGCACAGACACAGTTCATACCGGCATGTACCAGTGCAGACATTTCCCTGTGAAGCACTGACCACAACTTCAGGACTATGAATGACACTCCCAAGCACCATCTCACATGTCCTTCTCTTTCCTTCTCTCCTTCAGAGAACATCAAAATGTCAGTGACCGTAGGTGACAGCTCAGTGCTCTCCTGCCCTCCAAAAACAAATATAACTCTGCTAACATGGAAAATAAGTCCCAAGGTTGGAGGCCCCTGCACCTTGGGATACAGGGCTGATACGAACACAACAGACAGAACAAACTGCAGTGACAGCATAAACTGGAAATTCAGACCAGATCTGAGTCCCGACCTTGAGATACAGCAGGTGGGGATAGCCCAGGAGGGAAAATACATCTGTGAAGTTGTAACACCAGACGGGAATTTCCGCAGGACATACCACCTGACTGTGCTGGGTAAGGAACTCCTTCTCTGTTTCCAGCTCTCCAAAGGACCATGTCTGGGCCTGGACATATGAAGCTCCTCTCTGCATTCACTGGGGAAATGTGGAGTAAGAAATGGAGGTTTTTGGTTGGTTTTTTTGTTGTTTGTTTGTTTGTTTTTGTTTTTGTTTTTAATCAAAGAGGGTAGCTTTAAATTAGATATTAGGAAGAAATTCTGCACTGAAAGGGTGGTGAGTCAATGGAACAAGGCTGCCCAGGGAAGCTGTAGATGCCCCATCTCTGGAAGTTCAAGGCCAGGCTATATAGGATTCTGAGCAACCTGGTCTAGTGGAAGATGTCCCTGACCATTGCAAGGGCATTGGAAGTAAATGATCTTTAAAGTCCCTTCAAAGCTGTGATTCTTGTTGGATAAACTGTCATGCATATCACTGATAGTGTCTCTGGGTCTCACTTCTCCTTACCCAAAACTCTTCCCCCTTCTGCTGTCCCATTTTCCACTGTCTAGTTGGAAACAAGAGTTGTGAAGCAATTTCCCATACACTAACAGAGGATAGGGAGAATGGCTGTGGTAAGGCTCACCTGAACATGAGAGAGTTGTCCAAAAGGAAGAAAGAGACAGGATCTTTGTCTCTTATGACTTGGATCCATGTTGTTGCCATGGAAAGGCACCTCCAACCTTCTTCTCTTTTCACTGCTTTCATTTTGGGTGGAGTTCAAGAACACCCCATCCCAGCTGCAGGAAACTAACTCCACGTTCTCCCCTTCCTGGTGCTTTGCAGTGCCCCCCAGGCTGAGCCTGTACTGCGATGAGCACGGGAACGCCGTGTGCGAGGCAGCGGCAGGGAAGCCTCCTGCTCAGGTCTCGTGGCTCCTACAGAGCAACTCCTCCCTTGAGGAAAAAAGCCACAACAACGGGACAGTGACTGTTCTCAGCAGGCTGACAGCATGTAACACCAGTGTGACTGACACAACCTGCATGGTGTTCCACCCAACTGGGGACTGGAGTGAGTCCATGGCCTGTTGCTCCTCAGGTAAGCTTCCCTTTGTGCATTTGGTGTTCAAAAGCCTGTTTAGCTTGTTCAACTCTCATGACTGCTTGGAAGGAAAGTCAAGAAAAGATATAAAAAACTTCAGTAAAGTCCTATAAAGACAAGAGTACTACCCCCAACTGAGTTTTGTCCAGAAACATCACCACTCATTTGTATTCTGGACACTATTTCCTAATAGTTTCTTCCCTAAAATGGATATACGTAAGTGTCATAGCATTCTTTTGGTACTGAAAACGTTTTTGGAAACAGAGACAAAGCAGTCATAACCAACCAGAAGTGGAACATTAGCAGGGTTTTTTCAGATGCAAATTTAAATGTGATGGTAAGAGAGAGAAAGAGAGCCAACTCTAGCATGGCCAGCAGAAATAAGTAAATCACTTCATTCTGAATTGTGAATGTCTGACACTCTATGACCTCTGGTTTCTGGTTTTTGCTTTTTTTGTTGCTTTTGAAAACTATACACGAATCACAGTGCTGAGAAATGCTGAATCCTTGAGAGGGGCTCAGGTGTGGCTTAGTGAAAAAATATCATGAGTGTACACTGTGGGATTTGTGGGATCTGCTTTTGTCTCTGGCACAGACTCCATTTGTGTTTCATTGCTGACTTTTCCTTCTGCTGAAGGACATTATATTTCTTTTACAAGCATGCTGAAAATGTGTGTATGTGCTAAAGCAACTTTAATCTTATACTGAAACAACACAGAAAATAAGTAGTAAGAAGATATAACTCAAACTAACTCTTTGTGTTTAGGCAAAAAGAAGTACATCCTGTGGGTCTCCATTACCATTTGCTTTCTGATCATTATGATCTTCATGATTGCCATTTACTACATCAAGCACCACAGTAATGGGTATGTATGATAGGGTGCTAAGAAAAAATTGTGTAGTGATAGAAGAAATTTTAAAGTGCTGTTTGTGTCTTGAAATCATATGATTCTGTCAGTCTGTGCTGCTATGAATAACTGAATTAACTTCATCAAATATTTCTATACTGCAGACATTGTGCATTGTGCACATCTTCATTGAGTAATGCTAAGAAAGCATCCTAACTAAGAAATTCAGGATGCTATAATTTCAGGAACTAAAGTCAAGGAGAAAGAGACATGAGACGGCTTTACTCCTAAAGACAAGAATAAGAAATTTTTCACATGCTTCTGATCAAAGAAACCATGCTGTGACCCAACCAAATGCAGAACTGAGGAAAGAATTTGGTTTAACACTTGCTATCTTTTCCACAGACCGTGCCACAAAACCAAACCTCCTGAAACTGATCCTATACAGGTAAGGAGAATTATGCAGATTAGGCCATCACCAAATCAGGGATCTTCTGATAGTCCTGAAAACATAATCAGTAAAGGGAAAACAATAGATTTTTACTCTGTGCTTTAAGCAGGTATTACCATGTTCTGTATGTTTATTCTTAGCTATTTATAGGATGAAACAAAGCTTATTTTTACCATAATTTTGATGTGGAGCAAACACTAGAGGCATGTTCCAACAGCAAACACCCATCTACTGCCTTTCTTTATCTTAGCAAGGAGTGATTCCAACCACATCTTCCTGATTATATCAGATACACCAACCACAACTCCTGTCCAAGCAGTAATGAGGAAGGGAGGCAATAACACGGGTTGGGGAATATTAAGGAAACTATTCGTAAACAAGAAGATTTAACAACCGAATTAACAGACAGAAGGAGAAAGGACTGGATTCTTCATGTCCAGAACAATAATGTGTGAGTTTTGAAGGCCCCTCTTTATCTAGTATGGTCAATCCACAGTCAAAGAACCAACCATACTCAAGACAAAACATTTTATAAAACAATGGAAGGAGTGCTGAGCTGCAAACTGGGAGATATTATTGAATTCCCTGTGCTGTTAGAACCTTCTTGTGTAGCTGAGCAATTCACTCATCAGCGCTATCTCTCTGTTCTCTGCTGTCAAATCCAAATAAAAGCATCTCTGCAGGCAAGATGTGTTACAACTATATTGTGAGTATGTGTGCACCTAAAGTAGACACTAGGCTCAAATTCTACCATCAACTTATAAAGATGCTTCAGCTTCTGAAAAGATTTAGTCAATTCTAGTTGTTATTGTTATTCTTGCTGCTCTGCTGCCCTACCTCGAAGCTATTGTTGACAGATGCAGTTGCATTAATCAAAATAATGGTTTAAGTACCAATGTTCTTGCTGTTTCATCACATAACTTTTATTAGCATGTCTGTAGACTAAAATTGTATACTGATGGAGGAATCCATTGTAGTCAAGACTTTAGCATATTCTTTGCTCTTTCTAGAGAATTAGACCCTAACAACCTTTTATTCAGGCCAAAAAAATAAGTGGTGTAGAAGGGAAGGAAAAGGAGGCAAATGAACCAATATCTCAGTTTTACCCTCCAAATCTTTGCCAGAAACAGCAACACATGTTCTTTGATAGAAAAAGCAATAGAGGAGTCTTTTACTTGAGTTGAAGAGGAATAAATATGAGAGGACTGTTTTCCAGTTATTTTCTTCAGTCCATATCAAAGGTTTGCTGAGTTTTGCTGAACTAAACTACTCCTTGCATTCACGGTTTTTGGTTTTGTTTTGCTAGAATGACACGACGGAAGTGGAACCTTATACTACTTATGTGCAGAAGGAAAACGTAATTTACAACTCAGTGTCTGATCTGACAGTGGGGCAGAATCTTCCACAAGAACTATGGCCAGGAACTTGAACAATTCAACAACACTGGAAAAGGAAAGACACACTTTATAAAAGACTGGTTATATAAAGAAACTTCTCAGAAGATTTCTTTAGATTTTGGGGCAGCATAACTAACTAGGTCTCTTCAAACACCTGTGCTTGCCAAGGAGTCTATATAGGTCTATTTTTTTCCCCCTTGTTTTTCTTTCTTCCTTGGGAAGAAGTGATGTTCCTTGCAAAAATGTGACTGACCCCATGACACAGTTTTTCCTGGAAAAAATGTTGTGACCAGTGTTCCCTTTAGTGTTCTTGCCCTGGAGGTTCTAGTTTTGTCAGACACTTCTAATGGTAACATTCATACACTTGACACTATGATGCACACATTTGGGAGACCAGAGGAGTGTTATTTCTGAACCAAAATGAAACACTCTTCAATCAGCAGCCACTTTTTTCTAATTCACACATTACTAACATGGCGACCCAACTACTGATCATCACTGAATACCTCAAATAGCAGAAGATATTGGTAGCGAAGACCCAGTTCTGAAAATGGAAATGGGTGATAAATTTAGAAGATCATCCACTAAGAGTCTTCACTAACATGAATAATTTACTTGTTAGTTTCAATATTCAGTAACTCAGGATGCCATTAATAAGATGCCATCCAGAGGGACCTGGATAAGCTCGAGAAGTGGGCCAATGGGAATTTCACAGCGTTTAACAAGACCAAGTGCAAAGTGCTGCAACTGGGTTGGAGCAACCCATGGTATCGGTCCAGGCCAGGGGATGAATAGATGGAGAGCAGCCCTGCCAAGAAGGACTCGGAGCTGCTGGTAGGCGAGAGGCTGGACCTGACCCAGCAGGACCTGATCCAGTAATGTGTGCTCAGAGGCCAGAAAGCCAAATGTGTCCTGGGCTGCTTCAAAAAAAGGTATGCAGATGGCCAGCAGATGGCAAGAAGTTATTCTGCCACTCCACTCTGTTCTGTGAGACCCCATCTGAAATACTGCTTCCAGCTCTGGTGTCTCCAACACAAGAAAGACATGGACGTGTTGGAGTAGGTCCAGAGAAGGGCCACCAAGATGATTAGAGGAATGGAGCACCGGTTGTATGAGGAAAGCCTGAGGGAACTGGGATTGTTCAGCCTGGAAAAGAGAAGGGTTAGGGTGGACCTAATTGTGGCCTGAAAGGAGTCCACAAGGAAGATGGGAAGGGACTCTCTACAAGGGCATGTAGTGACAGAACAAAGTGGAAAGGCTTCAAACTAAAAAACAGTAGGTTTAGATTAGATATTAGGAGAAAATTCTTTGCTGTGAGGGTGGTGAGACACTGGAATAGGCTGCCCAGGGAAGTTTTGGATACCCCATCCACAGCAGTGCTCAAGGCCAGGCTGGATGGGGCTTTGAACAACCAGGTCTAGTGGAAGGTGTCCCTGCCCTTGGCAGAGGGATTGAAACTAGATGATCTTGAAGGTCCCTTCTAACCCAAACCATTCTATGATTTCATGATTTCCACTAAATGTGTTCACTCTGTATTTCAGATAGTTGTTATGATTACTTTTTCATAAGATACTCTGAAGATATGACATTCCCCTTTCTTAAGAGTATTAGCATTAAGATACTGTAATAATTATGTTACTGAAATCTCATAGGCTACTTTTATCAGAAACAAACATAAAGTATTTCACAAAACAAGTTAAAATATATTCTCTATAAATGTGCAATTATGTACAAAAAGTATAAAATGCTTGCTAGTTCTAGTTGTATTTATTTTAACTACCACAATTGTAGATTTTAACTACCACAAGTGTAGATTTTTTCATTCCTATGTCTAGATGTTTTATGATAATCTTTTAAATGTACTTCCAAGTTGATTTTTTTGTATGTAAATTAGTTTATATATCTTAATGTGTCTCATGTTGAGGTAACTTCTTCTCACCTTCCCAAAATATCCTTTGGGAATAAGTCAAATAAATTGTCCTCAATATAATAGCAGTTCTCAAACTTTTTGGATTGATGTCTTTATAGCTAAAGTATGAACTGGCTTTACAGTAAGAGTAAAGGACTATATTTGTAGATCTCTGTTGACTACCTTTTACTTCAGTATTTTCAAGGACTGACTACATATTTGGTCTGATTGTAGCATCACAAGAACCAGATTTTTGCTTTAGATAATAGAAATGTCTTTTGCCACACATTTCTTTTGAGCTAAGCTCCCAAGGGCCGTGACAGAGTGCTTAGAAAACAGACTAAATTGGTTGCAGTTCCTAAATGTTAACTGCTGTTACTCATGTAAACCAATACAGCTGGTTATTTATTCTCCCTCTAGCTATGAAACAGCCACTTTTGTCCAGGTGCTCTCTGCATGCAAGTATGGCTTTTCTCCATTTCTGCATGTCATTTTAGAGTGAATCAAAGCTGAATATCAAGCAGCTACAAACAAGTTTTAAAGGAACCTCAGTGTCCAGTGACTTAATAAGGAAGAAAGCCAGTCAATTCAGTCATAATACTCTGAATTTCCCCATATAAAATAGGTATATTCCCACTCCGAAACAGAGTGCCATCACTTCTTCAGACAATTTTCTGTGAGCTGGAAAGTGGCTGGAAAGTTGTTCAGTGTTCATCCTCTGACAAATCAGCTCTTGCAGGTGATTATTGCCAGTTTATATGCGATATGTTTACAGAAGTACACTACCTGCTAACCTGCTGTCTAGCTGTAGGGTTTATGATCCTTTACAAGCCTATTTCACTGGACTTAATCATGTAAGTTCCAGACCTGGACATTGCTCAGTTGCTAACTGGTTGATTATTTCCTTTGTCCCCATTCAGACCTGCTATGGGCAGAAAACAGGATTTTACTCTGGGACTCTGATAAACACCATGAGTTAAGAGTCTTATGTATACACACATATACAAATACACTCTTTGACCTCAGCAGTACAGAAGGTATAAAGCAGAAAGTCCCTTCCTGTGCTTCTCTTTCTCCATCAGGGCACTTGCTACTCCTCTTTGCACTGTGCTGCTATTGTGCTGCAGACATCCTCCCCACAAAAGTGCTGTGTTGACTGTTTCTTAGCAGTCATGCAAGCCTCCCCTCTAAACTCCCCAGCATGTTGCAAAGTCACAGGAAGAAAGTCAGCAGCTTTTCAGCTCATCCCGTAAAGAAAGGGTTTGGCTTTAACCACATTTACCAATGCTATCTCTTGCTGCAACATCTGATTTTGGTAAATTTGCATCTGCCACCTTTGCTGCTAAATGTTACGCTGACACACACATTCCAGTCTCTTGACAGTTTACAACTGCCATTCCTGCTCCAATCAGGCAGTTAATAACCATAGTTATCTTATGACTATAGACAGTCCCAAGCACTGAGCTCACATGCACAGCACACCAGCAGATGTTGTGCATCCACAGAGCAGCTGCTCACCTATTCTAGTGTTTCAGGTATTACTCTCTCTGCATCCCAATAAATTTCAGGATTTACAACTAAATTCTCCTGCCAACATCACCTACTCTTATTTGTGGTTTATTACTTACAGTCTAGTTTGTAATCCTGTGTCCATCATAAACCTTTTGGTTCAGTGTGTGACTGCTCTGCAGTTTTGCCCAGCTTACTTCCAGTTATGAATTAAAATTACTTCAGGATCCTCTGTTTTCATCCTTTTGCCTATAGAAATTTAAGTTTCACATTAGAGCTGTATGACTTTCACAGGAGCACTGACATAGCTACTTGCCTCTAGATATCCCAGGGACTTCCTCATACAAATCTAAACAATGAGTGTATTTACACAAATCTGAAGAATGAGTGTATTGGTAAGGGAATGTTAAGTATTTTAAAAAAACCAACAACAACAATTTACTAAAATAAATTTTTAAAAATCTGAAATCTTTATAAGCAGAGTAAAAACTGATTCATATTTAACTGGGAGGGAAAAAAACCTGTGCAGTGCACTTAGTCATAACTAGAAAGGAAGTTCAAAAAATACATTTACTTGGAAGCTATGCAGTCAGACCACAACCTATTCACAGAAAATATTAAACAAAGAATTTTCTCTGCTAAATATATTTCACTAATGAATATGTAAGAAAGACTTTCACAGCCTAACCTGTTCTCCCTTGCATTCACTGTTGAGAAATCTTTTCTCTCTGTTGGACTAAAGATGACAGCTGTCTTTAAACATGTGTCAAGTTTAAAAATAATTCCCCTCATGCTTTTTGACATCACCTTAGATGATTTTTTCCTCAGTTAGGAAACTGCACAAACATCCATTTTTCAATGTCTTTGCTTAACTTCTTCAGTGACACCTGTTCAATAAAAATTACATTCTTAAGAGTATGGACATACTGAAATTATTGCTGGTTACATATATCTGACTGCCTTGTGATTTCTTCATTTTCCCCATAATCTGCCTCTGTCAGCATTGCCCTTCAATAGGTACTTAAAAATTCAGGCATTTCAAGGTAGATGCTATCTTGAAGCTCTGAGTTTTCAAGCACCTTGAATAAGTGGATCCTGATCAAAAACTGGGGGTCCAACTCCCTGAGGAAATACAAATAATAAACAGAATCTGCAAACCGAGCTAGACTGGAAGTTTGTTTGCTAAGTATTATGAATTATATTAGCCAATTTGCTCCAGGAGATATTGCTTCATAAAAGCTCCCTCACTGATGAGTACATGTGAATCTCTCAATACAAAAATCTGGGAATCACATCCTCTTCTGTCCCAGTATCACAGATACTAGATGCAGGTGCTAATGCTGTGCAGCAATACTCCACCCTGAGTCATCAAACTCATAACTCTGCACTTTGCTCTGCCTGTTTTCCTCTTTATAACACCATATTCTTATTACACTATGTACCTGTCCTGCTGTTTTTCACATTTATTTGCTGAAATCCAGTCATTATTACTGAGGTGTTTGTATCACCTTTACGAACCAGCCACCCCCAAAGCATTAGTACAATAACATGCACATAGCTCTCTTCTGACAGAAACAATACGCTTGTTGCAGAGTAACTGTTTTAGGAAAAGGTGTGTAATCAAAGACCTAGAGGCTCACTCGTGGTGCCTGTTGTTTCTTGATACATCCCTGCAGATTTAATACAACTTGCTGAAGTTAATGCACAACAGAAGACCTACTTCTTCAGGCTGAAGGCTATTCTCCCCCACAACCTGTGCCTGTCCAACTGAAAACGCTGGCATTGCACTGATGCTGTAACAGAACTTGACCTTCTAGGATGAGTTAGGGTGAAGTGTTAGTGCTTTTTTTAAGGGGAAATTTGAAATTGAGACCTACTTGTAAAATGACTGTAGCAGATAACCTAATAAGAGAGGTTCTTCGTTGCCCTATTTTAGTTTCAATTATCTTGATCTTCAGCCTCCCACAGCTGTTCAGGAAGGCAGAAAGTGGTCTGTCACTGTGGTAAACTGTGGGAGAGAGAGGAAAAAGGCATTTCACAGCTCTGCTGCACAAAGTTATAAATCCATTTATTCTTTACCAAAGATTCCAGGGTTTTTCCCTTCACATATTTTCAGGTGATACATCCTGGGGATAAGAAACATTCTGGCTATATCCAAATGAAAATGGTAATTCAGGAACACCTATTATGACCACTAGATGACAGTTTAACCTCACGCTATGAAAAACACTGCCTC